GATGATGATGATGAAATGATGATGATGATGATGATGATGATGATGATGATGATGATGATGATGATGATGATGATGATGATGATGATGATTATGATGATGATGATGATGATGATGATGATGATGATGATGATGATGATGATGATGATGATGATGATGATGATGATGATGATGATGCACTTAGGGAATATTGATTGAAACACGGGAGAGCGCCGCAACTTTTGCCCTTCGTATTTCTTCGGCTCAGCACTTCTTTTGAGCGCCCATCCTCGGCCGGCAGCGCATGGACTATGTGCTGCAGCCCAGGTATTCCGCGCGCGGCTCGCTGGTGTCAGCTCGCCGTCCTGTTGTGACCCACCGAGGGCATTCCACTACTCGTAAAATGCCTGTTCGCAGACTTCCGAAAAACACACGTTCGCCTCGTTGTCATGGATCGTAAATCCCCCGTGGTGGATCCAGGCCGTTTGCGAGTAGTTACTCTGCGAGCAGTGGAGCGCGCTTGTCGAGTGGCTGCACGCCCGCACACTCCGACGACGGGGTCCTCGAGCTGCTCCGCGAGCAGCTCCAGCGGTGCGGCCCGGAGAGGCTGCCTGCTTGCCCGCTGGCGCCGCCGTCACCGCCAGAGGCGGCTTACCTGGGGGCTCGTGTGGCCCCTCGCCGCCGCCGTCGCGGCCGGCGGCCTCGCGGGGGGAAAGGCTTGTCGCCCTGCGGCTCGCCAGCTGCGCTCGGCGGCTGCGCGGCTCGCAGCCGCTGGTGTCGCGGGTGGTGGCCGAGGGGGCGTGGGCCCCCCCAGCCAGCAGGGCCGCGGGCGCGGAACCAGGCGCTGGCGCTCGAGGGGCGCCCAGGGCTTGACGTGGCCTCCGACGACCTCGCAGGCGAGGCTCGCGCGGCGCTGACTGCTGTGCGGGCGCGCGCGGCTGCGCGTTGATGGCGCTCGCTCCTGGGGTATGGCTGTTCGTGGCTTGCGACAACCCAGGGGTGCAGGACCCGCTCTACCACGAAAAACTTATCACCGCCGTGGGAGTCAATGCGCAGTACTGCGTCTTCACTACTGACGGCGACCACTACCTCGAGTAGGTTTCCTCAGCTAATGCCGATTCTCTCGATATCCGATCGTTGGCTGGACCTGGAGCCGGGCCCGTCGGGATCAACGCCAATCGGATCTACAGATTCCGCCGCGTGCCCACGCTCGCGGAGCGTGCCCAGTACTTCAGGGACGGTACCCTCATCGCAGTGGTGGCCGTGCCGCCCGCCGCCGCAGCCGCTGCGCCCGCCGACGCGCCGCGGCCTGGCGCTGCGGCCCTGGCAGCTCTCGAGCGTGTGTGGGTGGTCGCCGAAGATGCAGCAGGGCGGGTGCGAGGTAATATCATCGCGGACATGGGGGGCGCTCCTACCATCTTCGGGGACATGGCACTTGTCGAGTTGGCCCAGGGTACATCGCGGACGAGGTCGCGAGATATACCAACGACGACCTTCGCATCTTTCCGGTCGCCTTCAACATTCGAGGCAACCGTCGCCGCCCCCTTGCCGATGCCGATGGCTTCGGGCCGGAGGGTCTGCGGCGTTGGCGCGGCGGCAGCATCGAACCTCAGCCATCGCGACGCGTGGTTTCGCACTTGCCGTCCGGCGACAGGTCGGTGCCCGCGCATCGCGTTCTGTGTGTCCTGCTGCACGTGATGCTGGTCGTCGACCAGCTCAACGCGAGCTGCTTGCAATCGGGCGAGCTTATCGCCAGGAGGCCCCAGCTGATTGAGGGCGCTCGCCGAGCCAGCCCGTTTTCATCAGACTACGGATCGCCGGACCACTACGTGGGGCGTGCTTATCGGGCAGGAGGTGTCACTGACGCGCCTGGCCTCAGGCGCTACGTCGCGGACAGGCCAAGGGCGAGGTCGAGGTGGCCAAGGGGCAGCGGAAGGCTCGCGAGGGGCCCCGCCTGCTCCGAGGCAGCTCCAGCCCCGCGGGCCGAGGAGAGGGGGGGCGGGCGCCGAGGGCGCCGCCCGGGGCTGGGCGACTTCGATTCCGCGGGGGGGGGGGCTGGCCGACCCCTCACGCGTGTCCCAGGCCCTGCTCACGGTGTGGTTGTGCGCCTGGGCGCCAGTGTTTGACGGGCGCCAGCGAGAATTGCCCCCCTGGCCGCTGGTCGAGGGGCGCCTTGCCGTTGCCGCGAGTCCCCTGGGCCGGGGGCGCGCGCTGGCCAGCGTCCGATGGGGGGGGCTGCGCCGTCGATCAGGCAGTCAGCGCCTTGGGGGAGCTCTACCGTGCACCTGAGGGCTCAGCGAGCACTGCGCTTGGTGGCCACCACGAAGCGCATCGCCCGCTTCGCCTCGCCGCTCGACTGAGCCCCCGTGTAGCGATGTATACTTTTCCCAAGCAGCCGCGGGGGGGCTGCTGAGGTTCCGCTCCTCCTGCGATGAGAGTGCCGCGTGCCGGGTGCGGGCCTGCGACCGGTCGCTCGTCGATTTCCCGAGGCCAAGCTGGGCGCCGCCAGCCCTCGCTGACGTGGCTGGCCATGTCGGGCGCGAGACGTTGAAGGATTGGATGAATCCTGCGATGCCGGGCCGGGGCGAGTGGGGCCAGGTGGTCGAGAGTTCGCCTCCAGTGACGCGCGTGGAGCCGCGCGAAGGGCCCCTCGCTCTACCGGGCCTTCGTCGGGGGCGCGCGCGCCGCGGGGGCCGTCGGCTTCGCCGCGGGGCCCGCGGACTGAGCGCCCCCCTTCGCTGGCAAGAAATCAGGTCAGCTGCGGGTTTGGCTCTCGACGGGAGAGCCCCGAATCGGCGGTTCCTAAAGCGCCCCCCCTCCTGGCCGCGGGGGCGGGGGCGTCGTTGGGCAGGCCGGGGCTTGAGGGGCCAGGCGTGCGCGCCCTCCAGGAGACGCCTGGCGCTCGCGAGGAGCTCTTCGTCAGTGGCCTCAGCGCGAGGAACTGCATCTATGCGCTGGGGAATTATCTCCAGCTGATGCCCTTCTACAGCTTGCCCGACGTCCTGGCCGAGTTCACCGAGGGCTTCGGGGGGCCGCTGGTCGGGGCGCTCCAGCGCTCGACTGGGTCTGGTCGACGCTGAGAGTGGCCTCCATTGGCTGGGGCTGGGCCTTCTGCCTGGCCGAACGTGTTGCCTCGCGGCGAGTCCAGGTCGCCTTCGGCGTCGGGCCGTCCGTGCTGCTCCGCGACCGCGGCCTGGCCCCCGACATCTGACGGGGGGCTCGCCGTTCTTGGCTACTGCCATTGCGTCGGCGCGGCTTCGACCTCCGGGAGTGACTGGCCAGCTGCGTCGCAAGATCGAGGTGCAGCTCGTCGAGGACGGCGTCGAGGTCCACGGGGCCACTGTCGCGTCCACTTCCGCCGTCATGTTCGGCAGGGAGATCGATGGCAGTCCTGAGACGGCGCAGCTACCTCCCCAAAGGCCTGCCCGACTGGGGGCAGCTAGCTGACGGGTGGTGCGAGGGGCGTCCGAGAGCGTCGGCCCATCGGATCGAGATCGTCGTCGGGCACTGCGTCGACGCCGCCGTGCTGAACCCTTGCCTCGTGTCCGTGTGCTGCAGGTGCTGCGTCTTCGCCGCCGCCGCCGTCTGCAGCCCTGCCGAGCACTGGGCTGCTGTGGCGTGGGTGCTCTCGATCGGTCTTTTGCAGGTTGCTCTTCGCGTCCGCCTGGGACGTGCGGGGGCCGCCCTGCAGCGCCGCTGGCGCGTGCGACTCGGGCCCGACTGGAGCGGCGGTGGTCGCTGCAGAGATGTCCTGCGAGGTCGCGTGGAAGAGATGGTGCAGGTCGGGGGGCGCTCGCGCTCCCGGGGTCGTGGCGGCGTCCTGGCTCCCCGCCTCTCCGCCGTCGGCCCTCCCGGTGTTTTTTCTCGGGCCCGAGGGCCGCCCCCCCTTCGAAAGTTCAGATGGGGGGGGCGAGGGCGCCTTGGTCCCCAATCCTTCTTTCGAGGAAGTGCCCGAGGAGCGGGCGGCGTGGGCCTCGTGGCAGACGTGCGTGGCCCTGCCGTTGGCGGGGGTTGAGCGGATCGCCGCCCGCTCTGCGTGGATCTTTCGAGAAAGGGTCCTCGGCGTCTGATTTTTTCCGATGTGTATCATCGTTCGCCGCAGGCAGGGGTGCGAGTTTCGTTGTGTTCACCTCCTGCGGGAGGGTGGCGTTCCTGTCCGCCTCCTCGGGCTCAGCTTTTCTGCGCCGCTGGGCGCGTTCTGAGAGGGGTCGTGCCGGGGCGGGGTCGCGCCTCTGGTGAGCTGCTGCCGGCGAGGAGCCCAGCCGTCCGACCGGGCTCGGCCGCGGCCCCGCCGAGGCGTGGCCGCCGGGCCACGGCGCCGCCGAGGCCCTGGGGGCGGCGTTCGGGCGGGGCGCAGGGCCGAGGTCGGGGGCCGCCGCTGTCGCGGCCTTCTGGAGGCCAGCCGGCTCGATCAGCAAGGCCATCAGGGGCGACTGCGACAGGGGGCTGAGCGAGTTCCAGACATGTGCGTCGAAGGGGTCGCTTGAGTTGTCCAGGTTGGCCCGTGCCGACGCGGCGTTGGCCGCGTGCGCCGACGAGCTCAGTGCGGCACCGCTTTCAGAAGAATGGCGGGGGCCCTGGCCGTCGACGTGGGTGTCCTCAGAACTCGTCACGTGCGAGCCATGCTCGAGGAATGCCTGCGGATCCGCCTCGTGCACGCTCGCTGACCGTCCTCGCGAAGAGGTCCGGGTCGAGGTGCCTCGGGTATGGTTTTGGCCGGATCCTCCCAGATGTATTGATTCAGCGTCTGTCGTTCAGAGTGCTACCAGGTCGCCCAGTGACACAGTCCATTCCTTCTTCAGAAGTGGGATAGGATGCCCGTCTACGAGCCCGAGGCATTAATCTGTCAGATTCCTGCCCGAGGGTGCCCAGGAGTTCTGGCCTCCCATGGGCGGGCCCCCGCGTCGACGCTCTGGCGCGCCATGCATGGCGCGTGCGGCCCGTCGCGTAAAGGGGTTCTCATATCATGATGCAGCTTTATCGGATATTCGTCGAATCGCGGGGGAGTGCCGCAACCCTTGCTC